CTGCTGGGCTCCGGCGATCCTTCTGCCTCAGCCTTCCAAGTAGCTGGAACTACAGGCGTGCGCTACCATACCCGGCTAATTTTTTGATTTATTGTAGAGATGAGGTCTCGCCAAGTTGCCCAGGCGGGTCTCGAACCTGCGGGCTCAGGCAGTCCACTTACCTCAGCCTCCCAAGGTGTGGGATTACAGGCTGAGCCACCGAGCCTGGCTTGGTGTCATTTTTTAAAAGCATTTTTGGTGCTTTTTCTTGGTGATTCGGCTGCTTAAAATGACCACTGTCCAGTGTACTAAGCGCTAGAAAACTGTGAGGACCTTCATGGAGAAAATGTGTGCATTTCGTTCAGATATGAGTTGAGGTGCTGTTGGCCATGAGCTCAGTGTTAATAAATCAACAATATATTTTAAATTAAATTAATTTTTTTAGGTCAGAGTCTCTGTCACCTAGGCTGGATGGGGTGCAGTGACATGATCACAGTTCACCGCAGTCTCGACCTCCTGAGCTCAAACAATCCTTTCGCCTTAGCCTCCCAAGTAGCTGGAACTACAGGTGTGTGCCACCATGCCTGGCTTATTTTTTGATTTTTTTTTTTTTTTTTGAGCTGGAGTCTCACTCTATCTCCCAGGCTGCAGCGCAGTGGCATGCTTATGGCCACCGCAGCCACACCTACTGGGCTCAGGTGATCCTTCCATCTCAGCTTCCAAGTAGCTAGAGCTACAGGTGCATGCCATCACGTCTGGCTAATTAAAAAAAAATTTTTTTTTTTTTTGGAGACGAGGTCTTGCTATGTTTCCCAGGCTGGTCTTGAACTCCTGGGCTCAAGCAGTCCTCTCACTTCGGCCTCCCAAAGTGCTGGGATTACAGGCATGAGCCTGTACCCAGGTAATTTTTATTTTTATTTTTTGTAGAGACTGGGTGTCACTATGTTGCCCAGGCTGGTCTCGAACTCCTGGGCTCAAGCAATACTCCCAGCTTGGTCTCCCAAAGTGCTGTGATGACAAGTGTGCGTCCCGTTGGGTGCCATGAAGTTAGAAGCAGACTGTTACACTGGAAAAAACCACTATGAACTGAATTTTATCCTACCTATGCACCCCCATTCGTATGTTGGCACTCTAGTTCTCAATATGACCGTAGAAGTTATTGAAGGGTAAATGAGGTCATAGGAAGGGACCCTGATATGTTAGGACTGGTGGCCTCATAAGAGGAGGAAGAGTGAGAAGGTGGCTGTCTGCAAGCCCAGAGGGAGCCCTCACTGGGAATCGATCCTGCGGGCACCTTGACCTTGACCTTCCAGCCTCCAGAACTATGAGAAAATTAACTTCTGGTGTTAGAGCTGCCCAATCTGTGATAATTTGGGATGACAGCCTGAGCAGATGATGATACGGGGATTAAATCCCAGCTCTGCTTTGTCTTTGCTGTGTGAGCTTAAGTAACCCATGTCCCTCTCTGAGCCTCTCACCCATATGTATCTTGTGCCTTCCCACCCCTTAGGGTATTTACGGCTTCTCTTTGTCCAGCAATTTACAGCAGAGCCTATTTCACACTCTATTTTTCTTCTCCTCCTTCTCCTTCTTCCCTGAGAGGGCACCTTCAGTCCTGGGTCTCACTATGTTGCCCTGGCTGGTCTCAAACTCCTAGGCTTAAGCCATCCTCCTGTCTTGGCCTCCCAAAGTGCTGGGATTACAGGCATAATCCAGGGCTTCCTTGCTGGCTCTGGGTTTGTTCGAAATGTCCCCTTGGGACATCTTCTGAGACTGTGGACATTGTGAGAAGTTTCTGGAAAGATTATGACCTGGATGGTGAGAATCTCTTCCTAGTGTTCTTTCAACTCTGTCTTCATCCCTCACTTCCGACAGCGCACTGCCTTTACTTGAATTCCTGTTCCCAGGTACTCCCTGACTACAAGTAACATCCCTCCATCTGGGCTCACAGTCCAGCTGGATCTTCCAGAAGAGGAACGGCATGAAGGCTCAGAGAGGGATGTGGTTTCCTTAGAGTCACACAGCACAGAGCAGGCGGAGCTGGGATTTGCACCTCGTGTATTAGTTTGCTGAGATTGCCATCACTGCAGACTGGGTGACTTAAACAGTAGAAATCAGGCTAGGCACAGTGGCTCATGGCTGTAATCTCAGCACTTTGGGAGACTGAGGTGGGAGGATTGCTTGAGTTTAGGAGTTCAAGACCAGCCTGGGCAACATAGTGAGACACCATCTCTTTTCTTTTAATGCAAAAAAAAAAAAAAAAGTAATAAACAGCAGAAATTAATGTTTTACAGTTCTGGGGGTTGGTTTCTTTCACAGTCTCTATCTTTAAGTCTCCCGTCTTTGTGCTGTTTCTTCTCTCTCCAGTATCCTCACCTCTCTGTGCTTTCTGGGTCCCTCCGTTCAGGCTGAGAAAAGTCTCTGGTCCCTCCCATATCTGGTCACTCCATCAATCTCCCTCTGGCCAACACTTCTTGCTGGCCATACTGACTCCTTCCTTTCACAAGTTTCCTGGAAAAGGCATCCCGCAGCTTGGCTTCCTCACTTTTATTCATTTTTTGAATTTTATTTTAATTTTTAATTTAAAAAATAGAGACAGGATTTCTCTATGTTGCCCAGGTTGGTCTTGATCTCCTGGTCTCAAGCAATCCTCTGGTCTCAGCTTCCCAAAGTGCTGGGATTGCAGGCATGAACCACCACACCTGGTTCTTTTATCATTTTTATTTTCATTTAAATTTTTGGGGGGCTTTTTATGATCAGATACAGTCCCAGAGCCAAAATTCACAGGTACAGAGGGTGTGGGTCATAAAAACTCTTTCTCTCTTCTTGTTCCAGCCACTCAGTTCTTCTCCCCAGAGACAACCAGCATTGCAACATCTTTTTTTTTTTTTCCTGGTGGGGAGGAGGGTTATGTGTTTACCTTTCTAAAGAAGAGTGTTTGCATATAGAAGTCAATCTGTCCCTCTGTTTGCCCTCTCCCTCCTTTTTTGCATAAGTGACGCCATATCACACAACCCGATCATTTATTTCCTTTTGCTTGACTAGGCATATCCTAGAGATCTTTCTTTCTCACCCATAAGGAGTTCCCTTGTATGTTTCTTTTTTTTTGCGTTGGAGTCTTACTCTGTCTCCCAGCTTTGACCAGCTATGCACAGGCCATCCTTCCGCCTCAGCCTTTCAAGTAACTTGAACTACAGGCATTCACCACCCTGCCCAGCTAATTTTATTTATTTATTGTAGAGATGAGGTCTCTCCATGTTGCCCAGGCTGGTCTTGAACCAGTGGGCTCAAGCAGCCCTCTCACCTCCACCTCCCAAAGTGCTGGGATTACAGGCGTGAGTCACTGTGCCCAGCCCTTGTATCTTTCTACAGTTGCATAGTACGTTATCACCTCAGAGGTCACCAGACGATGGCCCTTATGCCAGATCCTGTTTCTGTACCATCCTTGAGCTGAGAATGGTATTTTGAGCATTTTTTTTTAAAGTCAGAGGTCTCTGTTGCCCAGGTTGGAGTGCAGTGGCACAATCATGGCTCACTGCAGCCTCAACCTCTTGGGCTCACGCAATCCTTCCTTCTCAGCTTCCCAAGTAGCTGGGATTACAAGTGTGCACCATCATGCCCAGCTAGTTTTTTAAATTCTCTTTTTCTTTTTCTAGAGATGAAGTCTCATTATGTTGCCCAGGCTGGTCTCGAACTCCTGGGCTCAAGCAGTCATCTCATCTTGGCCTCCCGAAGTGCTAGGATTGTAGGTGTGAGTCACTGTGCCTGGCCTTGTAGTTTTTAGTTATTGTTGCTCTTTATAGAGGAGGAAACTGAGGCGCACAGAGAGGCTGAGGATGTGGTCCAGTATCACACAGCTGGCAGGTGGCAGAGGGAGAGTGGGGAGTCAGATCTGTTGGGTTTCTCATGTCCCCTAAGACTGGTATGAATGGTGGCTCAACACCTGAACCCAAGATTTGTTGAGGGCAGGACTCCCTGAATTTAGGACGAAGCGGTTTTAAGACTGGAAAGGATGCAAGAAGGAACGTGAGGGTCCCGGAATAGGTCACCAGGGAGTGTTTTAAAAATGCTGTGATTAGCTGGGTTCAGTGGCTCAGCCTGTAATCCCGCGCCTTGGGAGGCTGAGGTGAGTGGATTGCCTGAGCCTGAGGGTTCGAGATTCGCCTCGGTAACTTGGCGAGACCTCATCTCTACAATAAATCAAAAATCAGCCGGGCGTGGTAGCGCGTGCCTGTAGTTCCAGCTACTCGGAAGGCTGAGGCGGAAAGGATCGCCGGAGCCCAGCAGGTTGAGGCTGCGGTGGCAGGGAGCAGCCACTGCACTCCAGTCTGGGCGACAGAGTGAGACTCCAACTCAAAAAAAAAAAAAAAAAAAAGCTGTGATTGAAGAACGAAAACCTTTGTGATTGGAAGCAGAAAGTTCGAGGAGGACCCAAAAGAAACCGGAATCCATTTATAAAATAGTGTGTAATTATTCTTACATCTTTCAACTTTAGTCACCTTCCAGGGACTCTCCATTTGACACAATCCACCTATCTAGATGCTTTTTCCACTGCTCAAAATGGTTTTTGAGCTCATGCATTTAATGCCTTGTAGAGCTTCTACTGTTTTTTGTTTCACCTCTTCCACATTGGCAAAACGTTTCCCTTTGAGGCCTTTTTTCATTCAGAGAAACAAACCAAAAAAAAAAGCTCAGGAGAAAAGCTCAGGGTGGGATCAGGTGGATAGGGAGAGTGGGGTACCCGGGGTCATGCCGTTTTTTGGTCAAAAGCTGCTGAACACTCAGTGCGATGTGTGCAGGTGTGCAAACATGTTGAAGGAATCTCCAAAAAAAAAAGTTCACTGAAACCGAATGCAGCCTCTCACAACAACGCCAGCTGGTACACTGATGCCAATGTTTTCCCAGAACACTTATCTAGTGTGGGAGGCCTGTATTACAAGGGGCTCGCCCTCCAAATGATATTTCTGGGTTTTTTGGCCCTCCTCCTTGTATAAGACACTTAGCATTGTGATGGTTTTCAGAACCTCCTTTTGTGCCCACTCCCAACCCATGTCCTCTGCTGTTTTCATGGTGGAGAGGAAACCAGGGGAGAAAGGGACACTTCCCCAGATGGCTGCCCTGTCAGCCTTCTCTCCTTCTGGAGAATTCCTAGATTCAGAACCAGTACAGTCCAATAAAGGATTCTCCTTTGACAGACATACTCTGTATCTATGCCATCCAGTGTGATGGCTGCCATCTACAAGTGACTGTGGAGTCCTGGAATCTGTGGCCAGTGAGCCTGAATTTTTAGTGTTACTTCACGTTAATTTGTTTAAATGTTAACGTAAACTTTTATTTAACTTTCATTCGTGGAAGTATTTTTTTTTTAAATGGTCAGGCACGATGACTCATGCCTGTTATCCCATCTCTTTGGGAGTCTAAAGTGGGAGGATCACTTGAGCCCAGAAGTTTGAGACCAGCCTGGGCAACATAGCGAGACCTCGTCTCCACAAAACACTTGAAAAAATAGCCGGGCATGGTGGTGTGCGCCTGTAGGCCCAGCTACTCAAGAGGCTGAGGTGGCACGATCGCTTGAGCTGCAGTGAGACGGTCATCGCACCACTGCACTCCAGCCTGGGTGAGAAGTGAGATCCCAACTCAATACATAAATAAAAAAACAAGTACTCAGTTGTAATTGGAAAACTCTTGAGTGTGTTTGTGACAACTTGGGGGTACATGCATCTACTTGTTCGGTGATGCCCTTTATGAAATCTGCATAGACAGACCGAGTATTTCCAACGACAGCTGAGCCTCCGAATTGAGACGGGTTGCCAGGGTAAAAACACACACAACATCTCGACGGCTTAGCCGAAAAAAAAAGTCCCGTGGTCTCCCATTCATCATTTTTGAGTCCTGGTTTATTTTTTTACATGTTGACATGATATTTTTGGCTTCATTGGGTTAAATAAGATAGATTTCCTCTCTCCTGTTTCTTTTTGCCTTTTTACATAAAATGGAAAATTCCATAGGAGGCCCAAATTATGTTCCTATCGAATAGGGCTATTCCGGATCCTACCCTAACCTGGTCACCCCTAGAGACGAACTACAGTCTGCCATTGCCCCAATCTTAAAATCATGTAGGCAGAACTAAATAATTGTTACTGCATTGTTTGTTTGTATTTTAATACTCCTGGCATCTCCTCCAGGAAGACCTCCGTGATTGTACCAGAACGTGTTGAATAGCTCATTTTAACTATCTCTTCCAGCCCCTGGAGTTCTCCTTGATGTCATCCTCCTGAGTTTTTTAAATTTTTTACTTTTTGAGTTGAAGTCTCACTCTGTTGCCCAGGCTGGAGTGCAGCGGCATGCTCACGGCTACCCCAGCGTCAATCCGCTGGGCTCAGGCGATTCTTCTGCCTCAGCCTTACAAGTAACTGGAACTACAGGTGCATGCCACCATGCCCAGTTAATTTTTTGATTTATTGTAGAGATGAGGTCTCGCCAACTTGCCCAGGCTGGTCTTGAACCCGCAGGCTCAGGCAATCCTCTCACCTCGACCTCCCAGAGTGCTGGGATTACAGGCTTGAGCCATCGGGCCCAGCCCTGAGTTATATTTTAAGTGGACTTGGGTCGTGACTTCATGATTGCCAGACTGTATGACCAGGGACAACATTTATCCTGTGCCAGTACCTGGAACAGAATCTGACATGGAGCAGGTTCTCAGAGGATGTTTGCTGGGAAGGAGTCAATGAAGAAAATGCTCATCAACAAGCTTTTTCTAGGTCGTGAAAACCATTTCTGCGTGAAAACCATTTCATTGCTTCCCGATTTAAGTTGCATTCACCGGCTTCTTCACTGAGCATACTTGAGAAAGAAGGAAGCATGTCTGCACCAGGCTCTGTAAAAAACAAGGCAAAGCTAGACTCGGTGACTCAGCCTGTAACCCCAGCATTTTGGGAGGCTGAGGTGAGGGGATTGCCTGAGCCCATGGGTTCGAGGCCATCCTGGGCAACATGGTGAGACCTCGTCTCTACAATAAATCAAAAATTAGCCGGGTTGGATAGAGCAAGCCTGTAGTTCTGGTTATTTGGAAGGCTGGGGGATCGCTGGAGCCCGGCGGGTCGATGCTGGGGTAGGTGTGAGTGTGCCACTGCTCTCCAGCCTGGGTGATGGAGTGAGACCCTGACTCAAAAATAGCAAAAACAAAAACAAGACAAAACGGAAAAGAAGGAAGATGGTAAAACTGTCACTTGGCAGTTATGAGTATAGACGCTGCATTTTCTGCCAGATTGCAATTCTAGAGACACCTCTCAATACTCAACCTATGGGAGTCTTGATTGGTGCGTCACAAAAGTGGGCATGGAGATGGCCCCTCCTCTCGGGATGATGACGGTGATGATGATGATTTGAGTCTCGCTCTGTTGCCCAGGCTGGAGTGCTGTGGCATGATCACAGCTCACCACAGCCTTGACTTCCTGAGCTCAGTTGATCCTTCTACCTCAGCCTCCCATGTAGCTGGGACTACGGGTGCACACCACCCCATCTAGCTAATTTTTTTAATTTTTAATTTTGTAGCAACAAGGCTGGCCTCGAACTCCTGGGCTCAAGCAATCCCCCCAACTCAGCCTCCCAAAGTGCTGAGATTACAGGCGTGAGCCACCATGCCCAGCTCAAGTACTTTAGATAGCAAGTGTTTAGAAAATATTAGCTGCCACACAGACCTCCTCCTCATTGTTCCACTCTACCTGTGTGGAGAGTGGCCATTAACCCGGTGCCATTTATTAAGAACTTGAGGCATCCTTGGGTTCCCATCCAGAGGTATTAAAAGCCAGCAGAGGCCAGGTGCGGTGACTATAGTCCCTACTTTGGGAGGCTGAGTTGGGAGGATTGCTTGAGACCAGGAGTTCAAGACCAGCCTGGCCAACAGAGTGAGACCCTCCATCTCTTCAAAAAAAATAAAATTAATTAGCTAGGCATGGTGGTTCACACCTGTGGTCTTAGCTACTCAGGAGGCTGAGGCAGGAGGATCGCTTGAATCCAAGAATTTGGGGCTATGGTGAGCTATGATTGTACCACTGTACTCCAGTCTGGGTGACAGAGCAAGACCTTGTCTCTGAAAAATAATAATAAAAAACGAAAGCCAGTACATGTCCTTGCATCTATTTCTGACGTCATTTCTGACATCCCCTGGGTATTTTCTGTCCCAGTCGTAAATTGCTGTATTGTCTTCGACTCATGGGGACACATACGGCTTTAATGAATTAAGAGTTAGATTCATGGGAGATTTAAAAAGAAAAGCAATCCTTTATTGTACCCTGCAGTTACAGCGTGTAATCTGTATTTGTAATAATTTTCGTGAGATAGAATTCACATACCGTACAGCTTACCCATTTTAAGTTGCAGTGAGGTGGTATTGTGTTTCGCGTACATTCACAGAGTTGTGCAACCATCACCACAGTTGGTTTTAGGACATTTTCAATAACCCCCAAAGAAATCCTGTCTCCATCAGCAGTCACTCCCCCTTCCCCCTGGCCTCCCAGCCCCTGGCAACCACGAATCCACTTCCTGTCTCGATGGATTTGCCTGTTCTGGATTTTTCACATAAACGAAATCATACAACATGTGTCCTTTTGTGTCTGGGGGACACATTGAGGGTGATGTCCTCAAGGCTCCACCCATGTTGGAGTCTGTGTCACAGTTTCACTCCCCGCTTTATTTTTTGAGTTGGAATCTCACTCTGTCGCCCAGGCTGGAGGGCAGTGGCATGATCATGGCTCACCGCAGCCTCGACCTGCTATGCTCAAGCAATCCTCCTGCCTCAGCTTCCTCAGTAGCTGGGACTACAAGCACGCACCACCACACTTGGCAAGTTTTTTTTTTTTGTAGAGTTGAGGTCTTGCTAGATTGCCCAGGCTGGTCTCAAACTCCTGGCCTCAAGTGATCTTCCTACCTTGACCTTCCAAAGTGCTGGGATTACAAGTGTGAGCCACCACTCCCGGCCTTCATTCCTTTTTATGATTGAATAATATTGCTTTGGAAGGGGAGACCACACTTTGTTTATTCATTTGTCAGTTGATGGGCACATGGGTGATTTCCACCATTTGGCTATTTTGAATAATGCTGCCATAGACATTTGTGTACTTGTCTTTGTGTGGACATGTTGTTTCCTTTGTCTTAGGTAAATGCCTGGGAGTGGAATTGCAGGGTCATATAGTAACTCTTTGTCTAAATTTTTTTTTTTTGAGTTGGAGTCTCACTCTATTGCCCAGGCTGGAGTGCAGTGGCACACTCACAGCCACCCCAGCTTCGACCTGCTGGGCTCAGTGATCCTTCTGCCTCAGCCTTCCAGTAGCTGGAACTACAGGCATGTGCTGCCACGCCTGGCTAATTTTTGATTTATTGTAGAGACGAGGTCTCACCAAGTTGCCTAGGCTGGTCTCGAACCCTCAGGCTCAGGCAATCCACTCGCCTCGGCCTCCCAAAGTGCTGGGATTACAGGCTGAGCCACTGAGCCCGGTCTAACTTTTTTTTTTTGAGTCAGAGTCTCAGTCTGTCACCCATGCTCAAGTGCAGTGGCACGATCACCTCCACCTCGACCTCCTGGGCTCAGGTGATCCTTCTGTCTCAGCCTCCCAAATATCTGGGGCTACAGACATGCGTCACCAGGCTTGGCTAATTTTTTAATTTTTTTAACTCACTATGTTGCCCAGGCTGGTCGCGAACTCCTGGGCTCAAGCGATCCTCCCTCCTCAGCCTCCCAAAGTGCTGGGACTACAGGTGTGAGCCGTGGTGCCTGGCAGTCATTATTATTATTATTTTTGGATAAGTATGTTCCAAACATTGCATGGGATAGATTTATCCTTAAAAAGCATCCGTTGCTTATCTGAAATTAAAATTTCACTGGGCATCCTGTATTCTTGTTTGTCAGCTCTGGTGGCCCTGCCTGTCCTTGGTGGACTGCATGCACTGGGCGGCTGGTTGTGCCCCTTGGAGGTCTGGTTTTCTCATCTGTGGGGTGGGGACATGGTTTGCTGGGAGGTATCCGTGGCGGGTGAATGTTGAGCTCTCTCTATTGGGAGACATTGGTGAGACTGGGGCTGGGAGGTGAGACGGGGTTCCAGTGGGATGGCCGTGAGATGGAGGGGCTGGAACTGGCGTCCTCCTCCCCTTGAAGCTTCCTCCCAGCTTGAACTTGGCCGCTGCAGGGGTGGGGGGCGTGCTGGGTTCAGACCCTGGGCAGTAAGTGTGGAGGGGAGGGTGGAGGGGACTGTCTCCCCCTCCCCCAATTCCTCAGGGGATGAGAGAGTGTGCGAGTGTTGAGTGTTTTCCTTTGACTTAGCCCAAGCCATCCCACTGTGGTGTGGAATGGCACCTGGGAACATTGCTACTTTGTTTTGCCCGATTGTTTGCTTTTGCTGTTTTCTGTCTAATTTGCGCTGCTCTTGTGGATCATTCTCAGGGTGGATTTTTAAAAGAGGATTTACTATTCCTCTGTAGAACAGTCTGTTTGCCTCAAAGATATTAGGGGAAGGGTTCATGTATTGGAATAAAATAAGTGAGGGTTATGAACCGAGAGCCTCATGTTCCAGATACTAAAGGTGGTGATGTGTGTGTGTGTGTGTGTGTGTGTGTGTGTGTGTGTTGGCAAGGAGAGGTGGTCTAAAGGGTTTGATTCTGACAAATGTTAACTCAAGTAAAAGGGATACAGGAGAAGGGAAAGATTCAAAGAGGTATATAGAGGAAAGGAAATCAAGAAAGGTTGCCTGGAGGAGGTGGTATTGGAACTGGATCTTGAAGGATGTTGTGCTGGGTTGAGAGTCAGGGAGGAAAGGTATCAAGAGCTTTGCCAGCCAAAAGCTAGGCTGGCCTAGAGATGACTGTTATGTGTTTGGAGGAAAAAACAACAAACAACAAAATTGCCGACATTCATGGATCACCTTCTATATGCCAGATGCAGCTTGAGTGCTGGTCTTCCGTGATCTCACTTATTCCTCCTCACAAGTCCTGTAATAGAGGAGGACATGGAGGCTTGGAGTTGTTCAAGGGTGGTGAACAGGCCTGCTGAGGGGGGCGCGGGGGATGGAGGGGCAGAGTTTCGAGAACAGTGAGAGGGAAGCCCAGGGTCTTGGGAGCCATGGAGGTGTTGGAGCCTGGGTGGAACCACCCTCAGGAGAAGGAGCATGCCAGGTGTTCATGCAGTGGGACTCGGACTCCCTGAGAAGCACTTGCCACACCTGGGTAAAAGGTGATTAGGCTTTGACTGCCAGCCAGGGGGTGCGGGCGGGGAAGGAGTCAGCCAGCCTGGGAGTTGGAGAGTTGACAAAACCGATACATTCAGCTTTTCCTGCCTGTCTCTGATGCAGGCGCCTTTATCCCTATAAATCACTTCCTGAAGCTCCTCCATGCTGACGCACTGGGGACAGTTCCCACCTGCCGCCTTACTCAATCCTCTGTGATCCCACCTTCTCTGTTGCATCATGTCAGAGGCGATGATAAGGCTTCTAACACGGCCTGCCAGAGGAACCATCTTCTTTGCCTTTTGAAATAACTACTCAGGCATGGGCATTTCACAGGGAAAGCCACCCACCCCCTCTGGCTACAGAATTTGCGGGGTCCAGTGCAGGATGAAATGGCAGGGCCAGGTCAAATGCTCATGAGTCTGTCCTTGCCCTGAATAATAATAATAATAATAATAATAATGATAATAATAATAATAATAAGCCGGGCTCAGTGGCTCAGCCTGTAATCCCGTGCCTTTGGGAGGCTGAGGTGAGTGGATTGCCTGAGCCTGCGGGTTCGAGACCCGCCTGGGCAGCGAGACCTCATCTCTACAATAAATCAAAAAATCAGCCGGGCGTGGTAGCGCACGCCTGTAATTCCGGCTACTTGGAAGGCTGAGGCGGAAGGATCGCCGGAGCCCAGCAGGTCGAGGCTGCGGTGGCCGGGAGCGGTGACAGGCTGGGTGACAGAGTGAGACTCCAACTCAAAAAAAAAAAAATAATAATGACAACAACAATAATAAAAGAGGATTGACTGGGCTCAGTGGCTCAGCCTGTAATCAGCACTTTGGGAGGCCGAGGCCAGTAGATTGCCTGAGCCCATGGGTTTGAGACCAGCCTGGGTAACTTGGCGAGACCTCGTCTTTACAATAAATAAAAAAAATTAGCCGAGCATGGTAGTGCTTGCCTGTAGTTCCGGGTACTTGAAAGGCTGAGGCGGAAGGATTGCCGGAGCCCAGCAGGTCGAGGCTGCAGTGGCCAAGAGTGTGCCACTGCCCTCCAGCCTGGGGGACGGAGTGAGACTCCGACTCAAACATAAATAAATAATAAAATAAAATAAAGTAGGATTTACTGTTCCTCTGTAGCACAGTCTGTTTGTCTCAAAGATATTAGGGGAAGCGTTTTTTATTATCATCATCATCATTATCCTTCTCCTCCTTCTTCTCCTTCCTTCTCCTTCTCTTCCTCTTTTTTTGAGTCAAGGTCTTACTGTGTCACCCAGGCTGGAGTGACCTCCGGGACTCAGGCGATCCTTCCTTCTCGGCCTCCTGAGTAGCTGGGACTACAGGCATCACCAAGTCCAGCTAATGGTTTTTGTAGAGATGAGATCTCACTACGTTGCCCAGGCTGGTCTCCAATTCCTAGCCTCAAGCAGTCCTTCCGCCTGGGCCTCCCAAAGTGCTGGGGTGGTAGGCTTGAGCTGCTGTGCCTGACCTGCCCCCAATTCTAAACCTATCCCTGGCACATCTGCTCACCCGTCTTTGTTTCTGCTTTTGCTTTGTCTCCTAGTGTGTCCCGGTATGGATATCCGGAACAACCTCACCAGGTTGCATGAGCTGGAGAACTGCTCGGTCATCGAGGGCCACTTGCAGATACTCCTGATGTTCAAAACGAAGCCGGAAGACTTCCGAGACCTCAGTTTCCCCAAGCTCATCATGATCACCGATTACCTGCTGCTCTTCCGGGTCTACGGACTGGAGAGCCTGAAGGACTTGTTCCCCAACCTCACGGTCATCCGGGGCTCGCGGCTCTTCTTCAACTATGCGCTGGTCATCTTCGAGATGGTTCACCTGAAGGAGCTCGGCCTCTACAGCCTGATGAATATCACCCGGGGTTCCGTCCGCATCGAGAAAAACAATGAGCTCTGCTACTTGGCCACCATCGACTGGTCCCGGATCCTGGACTCTGTGGAGGATAACTACATCGTGCTGAACAAGGATGACAATGAGGAGTGCGGGGACATCTGTCCGGGCACCGCGAAGGGCAAGACCAACTGCCCCGCCACCGTCATCAACGGGCAGTTTGTTGAGCGCTGTTGGACGCACAGTCATTGCCAGAAAGGTACGTAGGCTGGGGATACTGGGTTCTAAGTGGCTTTCATGCCTTGTACTCAAAGCTTAGCCATGAGGGGATGGGGGACAGGGGGGTCAAGATAGCAAGCGGTGGCATTCGTGACCCCAGGCAATGGCAGACTTTTTCTGTAAATGCTCAGATGGCAAATAGAGTTTCGTTGGGGTCTCACTCTGTTGCCCAGGCTGGAGTGGCACCATTACGGCTCACCACAGATTCGACTTCCTGGGCTCAAGTGATCCTTCTGCCTCAGCCTCCTGAGTAACTGAGATTACAGGCCCATGCCACCATGCCTGGCTAATTTTTAAAAATTTTTTGAAGAGACAGAGTCTTGCTATGTTGCCCAGGCTGGTCTTGAACTCCTCAAGCTATCCTCTTGCCTTGCCTTCCCAAATGGCTGGGATTATAGGCGTGAGCCACCATGCCCAACCGACTTTGCAGGTCTTTGTTGCAATGACTCAGCTCTATCATTGTAGTAGGCAGGCAGCCACAGGCATGTGTGAACATATGAGTGTGGCTCTGGGTTTCAGTAAAACTTTATTTACAAAGACAAGTCGTGGGTTGGATTTTGCCTGAGGACAGCCATTCCCCACCTTCTGTGCCAGACAGTGCCCTGAATATTTTCTTGCTTGAGAGAGGATTAGGAATAGGAGAATATAAATTTGGTATTTTATTAATTATTTTTTATTTTAAATATGTGGGGTACAATTCAGGATTAGGTAGATAAGTGGTCTGTGTACAGGTGAAATTTGGGCCTCCCTTTGGTCCCCACTTTGCCTGGTTTGAGATCAGACACCCTTACTGATGTTATGTCTCCCTTGCCCCCAACCCTGGCAGTATCCTGCTACTGCCAATACCTTTCTTATAGTATTATGGTCAATGTTCAGGGTCCACTTCTGTGAGAACATGTGGTACTCAGTTCTTTGTTTCTGTGATAGTTCACTCAGTATTATAGACTCTAAATCCATCCAAGTTGCTGTAAAGTCCATAATTTTGTCCTTCTTTATGGCTGCATAATATTCCGTTGTGTATATGTAGCACATTAAAAAAAAATCCAGTCTACTTTCAATGGGCAGCACAGTTGGTTCCATGTTTTGTTTGTTTTTTTTAAAATTTATTTTGGGCTGGGCACGGTGGTGCATGCCTGTAATCCCAGCACTTTGGGAGGCCAAGGAGGGAGGATTGCTTGAGCCCAGGAATTCAAGATCAGCCTGGGTAATATAGCAAGACCTCATCTCTACAATAAATCAAAAAATTAGCTGGGTATGGTGGCATGTGTCTGTAGTCCCAGCTACTCAGGAGACTGAAGCAGAAGGATCACCTGAGCCCAGGAGGTCGAGGCTGTAGTGAGCCATGATTGTGCCACTGCACTCCAGTCTGGGCAACAGAGCAAGGTCCTGACTCAAAAAAATTTATTTTTTACCCAATTATAGATTCCAACTTCTCATAGCAGACATTTGGGCAAAGAGATGCATAAAGGAAAAAAAGCAAGACATTCATCTTATTCCACGGTGCACAATGCTGAGAGTAGTTGAATAGGGCTACTTTCTTCTTGTGGGCCTTCAGTAGATATACTGTGTCTTTATTTCCTTAACCCTCCCTGGTTTTGGGCATTTAGATTATTTCTGGTTTTATGAAGAGAGAGATTGGCATTAAAGTTTTATGCAGCGTTTGTTTCTTGAGACCTGCTTTGCAATTCAGAGGGGTCTGCTTTGCAGAAGTGAAATTTCTGGGTCAGAGGCTCTTGATCCAGATGTCAAATGGCTTTCCGGAAATGTTGCACCTATGAGCACTCCTTCTAGCCTTGCAGGGACACCTTGGCCAGCCTTGAGCGTTGTTTGAAGGCTTTTTCTTTCTTTCCTTCCTCCTTCCTTCCTTCCTTCTCACTTAGTCTCCCAGGCTGGAGTGCAGTGGCACACTCACGATCACCCCCTCAACCTACTGGGCTCAGCCTTCCACATCAGCCTTCCACGTCCAGCTAATTATTTTTATTTTTATTTTTTGTAGAGACGAGGTCTCTTCAAGCTGCCCAGGCTGGTCTCGAACATGCAGGCTCAGGCAATCCACTTGCTTTGGCCTCCCAAAGTGCTGGGATGATAGGCTGAGCCACCAAGCCTGGCTGAAGACTCTTTCATAATTTGCTGGGGCCTGGGGGAGGGGCTGACATGTTGTCATTGCTTCTATTTGCATTTCTTTGATTGCTATCAGGGATTGAACCTTTTAAAACATGTTTATTTATCATTTGGGGTTTCTCTTCCTGTTCCTATCCTTAACTCACTTATCTTTCAGTATCTCAGTGGGCTTTGAAAAATTAATCTGCATATGGTTTTCATTGGTGAAGGCTATGGACCCTTTGTCAATTGCATTTTTTTGTTTGTTTGTTTGGTACCATGGTGAAAATGTCCTAGAGTGTGTTTTGTCAGAGAAGCTTAACTGTTTATATTCATGGAACTCAGAGCTGGAACTACAGAGCTTGATTTTTACATGCCTTTTCTGTGCTTTCTGCTTAAAAAATCTCTTCTATCCATAAAAAAAATTTTCCTCCAGATTTTTAATATCAATACATTTATCTTGCATTTATTTTCTAGTGATTGTTCACGCTGTTGCAATAGTCCAGGCTGCAGTGCGGTGGCACCATCACTGCTCACCGCAGCCTTGATCTGGGCTCAGGTGATCCTTCTACCTCAGCCTCCCCAGGAACTGGGGCGACAGGCACACACCATCATGCCTGGCTAATTTTTTGATTTACTGTAGAAATGAGGGCTTGCTTTGTTCCCCAGGCTGGTCTCGAACTCCTAGGCTCAAGATCCAAGGATTAGAATGTCTCAGCAGATGGTTATACCTTATACTTTTTTTCCTCTTGTTTTATTTCTTTTCTGTAGATACAGGGTTCTGCTATGTTGTTCAGGCTGGTCTTGAGCTCCTGGTCTCAAGCAGTCCTCCCACCTCAGCCTCCCAGGGAGCTGAGATTAGAGGCATGAACCATTGTGCCTGTCCCAGATGTTATATTTTAATTGTTACGGTGTTTTAAAAATATTCATCCTTGAGATCTATTTGTGTGGGTGACTCAGTGGGGGTTTCCATTCTCTCCCAAATTTAACTGGTTGGAGCCTCAGTACTGTTTGTTTTTATTTTTATTTTTTTTGAGTTGGTGTCTCACTCTGTGGCCCAGGCTGGAGTGCAGTGGCACCCTCACCGCCACCCTAGTCTCGACCTACTGGGCTCCGGTGATCCTTTCGCCTCAGCCTTCTAAGTAGCTGGAACTACAGGCATGCGCCACCACGCCTGGCTGTCAGTACTGTTTATCATAGAAATCTACCCCTTTGCCTTTGCTTTGGGGTTTGTCTTTGGGTACCCTCAGATATGTCTGCCTTTCTTTGCACCAGGGCTCTTACTGTTCTGATCACTGTAGCTTTATGATGTTGTGATTTCCAAGAAGGCATTCAGCACACATACTCCTGACTTGCTTGTGGCTTCCTTGACCTCCTTCCCTGAGCAGAATTAGCAAACATGAGATTCAGGTGGGAGAAATTTAAGTGGGTAATTTAAGGGTTGTATCACAAAAGATAGAAGAGGGGAGAAAGGAAAGGAAGGACTTCTCACCTGAGCCCAAGGCTATGGGGAAGTCTCACTGGGTGCGTGAGTCCTAAATGGAATCCTTGGAATTGCCTCTGAGTCCTGGGAACCATGGAGTGGAGCTTTTCTGTGTTATGTGGTTGGATGGTTTTTAGAAGGTAGGAAAGGGGGTGGAATGGGGGTGTGAAGGGAGATGAGGGTGGAGACCATTGTTATTACAGTGTGGAAAAATCTTGAGAATGTACTAGGTCAGGGACAAAGAGAGGTAAACTCTGACCAGAGAGGTTACTTCACTCTCCTAAAGCCACACAGCTAATAAAAGACAGAGCTAGGGTTTGTACGAAGTCTCTGTGACACACACACAAAATCATGTGTTTTGGGGGGTGGGAGGGGTATCCCTTTTTTTTTTCCACCTTTAAATTTTTATTTTAAAAATGTGGGGTACAATTCAGGGTTAGGTATACAAATATTCATCATGCAGGTATCCTTGTTGATGAGGTGTACCCCCCTTTCCCTAGGCAGTTTCCCACTACTGCCAATCCTGTCTCCCCACTGCCCTGAGTGTCCCCTTTGTTTAGAACTAGGAGGGCTGCTTCTAACTGGTACCCCAGAGGGATAAAGTGAACCCTCTTTCATGCCAGTGCCGAGCCCCCAAATGTAGGTTTTGTTTGGAACGCTCTGGGCTCTCCCATCTTGAGACATAACTTAAGACCTTTCTTGCGAGTTTATTTTTGTATCCATTTTAGTCAAAATATCCAGAAAAGCATTATCTGCAGTTGAGTCTTCTCCTTCTCCCTGTTTTGAGCAGATTTTTAAAATATTTTTTAATCTTTTGCTATTAAGAACCCGGCTTGCTTTTCCAACCTTGGGGGTTTCGTCACCCGGGGAAGGTGTGGATTTCGTCACCCGGGGAAGGTGTGGCCACACGTATTGCTGTGACCAACACCTTTCAGGGTATCAGATTCCTGGCACCTGGCATATCCCCCGGTGTCCTGTCCTGTCCGGAGGTGACAATGCCAAGAAATGATCAGCTTTTGAGTTGCTGCCCCCTGTCTGCTGAGAACAACTCAGTTCTGCCCTTCCCACCCCACCCCCATCAATTTCATTTATCATGGTGGAAACACACATAAGGCACAAACGTCACCATCTTAACCATTTTTTTTTTTGAGTTGGAGTCTCACTCTGTCACCTAGACTGGAGTGCAGTGGCCGTTCCCAGCCACCGCTGCCTCGACCTGCTGGGCTCCGGCAATCCTTCCACCTCAGTCTTCCAGTAGCTGGAACTACAGGTGTGGACTACCACGCCCGGCTAATTTTTGATTTATTGTAAAGATGAGGTCTCGCCAAGTTGCCCAGGCGGGTCTCAAACCCGCGGGCTCAGGCAATCCACTTACCTCAGCCTCCCAAAGTGCTGGG